TATATATATATATATATATATATCGTATACACATATAAATATATATACAGACACATATATATGTATACAAAGCCGCGTTTACTTTGATATTATATAACGAGACACGTTCCTTTTTGTTTTCTCTTTTTTTTTTTTTTCGGAGATGTTTTTTCTTTGACATATCAAATTGACCACAAATGGACACACCGAGAAACCGTTGCATTCCATTGGCGTCGTCGGTTGCACGCCCCCTTCAATGTTTCCCGTGATCTCTGTTTTTTTTTTTTTTTTTTTTTTTTTTTTTTTTTTCTTTGTTTTGTTTTCACTATTGATTTTCCACGTTTCCAACGACTAATTGCCGTCGAGCCTGGCCAGTGGGAGAGCTCCTCTTGTCCCCAGGACGACGTTCAATCAGGACCCAGAGACAATTGGTAACACAGTGATCATGAGAGGGGTCTGAATCGGTGATCTGTGAAAATCGAATTTGTTACTTCTTTTGTCATTCGAATAACGTGGTACCATATTCATGGAGGATTGAGAATCGAACCGATCAGTGGGATCGGCGAGGGACATAGTTGTTGTAATCAACGAAAAATATTCGGCAATAGGTGCCGGTACTGTGTGTTCCAACAGTGAACGAATGTCGACATCACGTGCTAGGGTCGACTCCTTTTTCTCATTCACTTTCAGATCTATAAGTGTTCCGTTAAGTAACGTTACACAATAGTGGACAAACATGCAGTACGGAAGTATACTGCTTAACCTTTCGTCAACGACTTGCAGTGGAAACGTTGAATAAATCAAAGTTATGTCCAAACTAGGAAATTGGTCCCACAGCATATAATTCCTGTTGCGGGGCGGTTTCGACTTTTGCTCTAAAAGCACCAGCCTCGCGTGGTGGTCTGGGTCTCTCCTCTCTTGGTCCTCTCTTTCGTGGCGCTTCTCGCCATTGACTAGCCCTTATCATTATACTGCCACATTCTTCTATAATCGTCGCGTCGTTGTGTTCCACGGAATTCACAATTATTAGCACCGGAATTTACAGGCTGATATCGGTTCGATTCTCAATCCACTGATAGCTGTGTGTCCTTGGGAGTTCAATTGGGGTTCAAGATATGGAAATGGGACTGTCCAGAAACTGCAGTTCCTAGGCTCAGATCACTCTCATGATCATAGGAGGGATTTGATGTCCTCGAAGCTGATTAGGAAAACGGTTCTTCTATGGAGCAATCCTGTGTATCGACGTAAGCAAAAGATCTGCCTGGCTAGGACGTTTCTTGACTTGGTGTCTGGCTCGGCGTTCCATTTAAATGGGTGGTTTTCCTGGTCGATGCCTCTTCGAGCCAGAAGCTGAGGAGAGCTTGAAGGGACACGAAGTGAATTGTGACGGTCATCTTGTGATCCTCTGTGTTTTCTGGACAGGACTTTAGGCGAAGGAAATGGCCTCTATCGAACAGGGACCAGGGGACTGGTGTGGTTTAGGGTAATATATTCCGTTCAGCATGTGTGACGTTGCAATACTATATTCTTTGTGTAATTTATAAACAGTAAGGACACTGTGTAATGTTTTCCATTAGTTGTTCCAGGGTCCGAGTGTGTGGTGAAAACACGTTTCTCTAGCAAAGTGTAATAAATCCCCTCGGTTTCGTGTCTCTTCAGACATCAGTCCAGTGATCGTCGAATCCTGTGCAGTCTAGGTTTCTTCAGTGACCGTAGAGTCTCTTGTGCCTGGAAGCTCTTGAAACAATCTAGTCATAAAGGGTTCAAAAGAGTTCAGCCTGCAAAGCTTTGCGCTCAAATTGCAGATAGGGGGTTGACAGGTTCGATACGGGAGAGTACATATATGAGTTCAACCATTTGCTCTCCCAGAAAGCAGGTCGATGAAACCTTGGATCCAGATCTCTGGCACCGAGGAGGTCTGGATCGTTTACGAGCTTCTCTAGACAATGTCACAATATATTTAAAACAAAAAAAAAAACAAAAAAAAGGATTAAAAAAACACGAAACACGTCTTCTGACTGAATCTTCGAGAAACAAATCAAAATCTCTCCCGATTGTGAAACGTGGAGAGGTCATCAGGGTGATCTCGAGAGCATTGCCCCAAATAAATTGTTGTTTACACAAATACCAGGTGACGAAAGAACGCCGAGCCATATGTTGAGGGGAGGAAACTCCTTGTACACCAGAACTAATATATATGTTTAAGGGAGATAACGTTTTAATGATATATTATATATATATATATATATAGAATTTAAAGTACATATAATTGTATCTGTTAGGTATTGTGCATATGTCTCAAAACGAAAGAAAAAAACTGAAACAGCAGGAACAAAAGCAAACAAACTGTTTAAGATAACACACACAAGTAAAAGATATTGATAATGGGGACAACCCAGAGGATGGGAGAATGGAAGTGGAAATTGGGGAATAAAAAGAATAATGTCCACAGACGGTTCACAATGTGCGTAAACCCATGTATTCCTGAAACCTCCATTGGTATTTTTTATTAAATGGGACTCATTCGTGAAATGGGGATATGGATTTCAAATGTTCCACCGAGTCGTGCGCGCGCGTACAGAGTTTGAACGTGGAGAGGTAGTGGTGGTGGGTGATGGTGGTGGTCGAACACTGTATAAAAGGATAGTACAAGACAAGAGAAATGGTAAATCGTAAAAAATGCAATACGGAGAAAGCGTGTATTCCAAATATATTTTTTATAATATGCTAATGGGATGCCAAGGTGCATGGTCGCGTTGTAAACGTAAATGTTGTATTATTTATCGTGTTACACGTACCGGTAATATATGTAATATGGCACACATATATATTATATCGATCGTGTAAACAATTGTCAGTCCTCCCCCCAAGACTACTCAGCCTTTAGACTAAAAAGAAAGAAGATAAAAAGAAGGTATATATATATATGTATACGTATATTTATATATATTTATAATCGCGAATTTCGACGTTTGACCTTGATTCTAATATCAATTCCTCCTGTGCCCCACGAATTTCCCCAAAGTTTGTTAAACCTAGTCTTGTATAAATGCGCACATATATACACGCATATATACATACCAGAGAGCAGAGAGACATTGTAAGAGTGTGTATGTGTGTGTGTGTGTGTGTATGCGTGTATAACTGTGCGCAGGTAATATACGTACATATATGTGTATTCAACCCGAGGTATCTCCTTTCGTTTAACGCGGGTTTTCGCTTATTATTATTATTATAATTACTATTATTATTATTATTATTATTATTATTGTATTTTTCCTTTTTTTTTTCTTTTTCTTCTACATCGTACCTACTAAATTTTAGTTTCATTTTTATATGGAATATTCAAATTTATGGTATTATACGTATACACATCTATATACACTTTTACAAACAACAATAAAAAGAAAAAAAAACAAATGAATAAATATTTTAATCTACAATACTATATTATTACGTAATTAAAGATATACGGAGAGACATTTGCTACTTATATATATATATACATATATATTTGTCAAATGTGTCATCGCGTGCACGTGCGTGCGTTGTGTGTGGCGCGTTTGGGAAGGTATTCTCGCGCGTTGTGGCGGGGGGTCGAGAGGCTTTTCTTTCGCGAGGGACACTCAGTGTTTCCCCCCGGTTTGTTGTTGTTGTTGATGATGATGATGGCGGGCGGCGTGGAGTCCTCCGGCGGCCGCACACGGAGATCATATATTTAAAGACCGTGTGTATTCCAAGTTGGTTCCCCGTGAACTTTAAAAACGATTTTTTTCCCGCCATTTTTACCTGTCAATTTGCCTCCGTCGCCCCATCGCCCGCGGCAACACATTTCCAAGCCGGGTGTCGTGGTCGTCGTCGTCGAAACTCGTGAAAAAAAGAGAAAAAAAAATAAGAAAAAATCTAATTGCAGTTCTTTGAAACATTGTAGAGAAACATACGTTGTTCTTGTCCTGCGCGCGCATAGGCTGAAAAAATGAAAATGCAATAATAATATATTGTGATGCTCACGAAAGCACATAACATAATTTACCAAAATTGTAATGTTTAAAAAATATTTCATGTGATTTTGGAAACTGTTATATTTTTTATTTCCTGCCAATTGTTTAATTTGTAATGTTGTTCTTTGTTCTTTTTTCAATAAAGTAAGCAAACGGACCACCGCCGCGATCCTTTTTTCCCTATCGTAACGGGTAACCAGGAAATTCTGGTAGTTTTGTGTCTTTAAACTTTGCAAGCTTTTTAACTAAACCATTTCATCGCAACGATTTCTTTAAATTCATTATTGTTTTCAGGGTATGTAGCAAAATCGTAGAACTCATATTAACCTGTAAGGGTTGTTTTCACCCCGAAACATCAAAAAGTAGTAAACAGAAATTGCTTCACACTTCTATCGAGGCACCCTAGATACCTGCAAAGTTTAAAAAAACAATCGGAATTTCTAAATTATCAAAGTTCTTCCCTTGTTAGCATTTCAGTGTTTCAAGGACCTCAGTGAAGCCCCGGTTGTTCCTCAAGGTGATGAAATAAATGGTACTCGTCGATCGTTTAAGCACAAATACATATGCCTATATTTAATAAGTAAATATTTTACTTTTTTCCAGCATTTAATCAGAATCGTCCAAATCGAAATAATATTGCTGTCTTGGCGGTTGCTTCTGTAGCTCAAGAACATGTTCGACTGGCTGTGGTTTTCCATCGTCCCCAATTCGACAAGGTTGCACCAAACCTTGCCTTTGATAAAAAAATTATTTCCTTATTAGAATTTAACAACACCCCCGGAGTCATCTAAAGTTACAAATTAGCTGGACGATTCTAACCTCGTCAATTGGTCGATAAGACCTACAAGCTGTAACGCTTCGTACTCCTTCCGTTCCTCCGACATCCCTTCCAAAGGATTAGGCTTCGGATGCTCGAAGCAGCCAGTCACTGGATTGATTCTTCAATAATGTTTTGAAACATGTGTATCGTTAGAAGGAAAGCTGACGGTTAAATTTAAGGTTACGATTTTGCTTTTCTTCATACTAACTGTTCCTTGTGTTGTAGGTACTCCTCGGTCTCGCTGTCCTCCGATTCAGACGAATAACCCGCCTTTTCTCTATTTAGACCCAATAATCCTTTGTTCGCAAACATGCCTGCTGCATTCCCATATCCTGTGTACTTTACCATACGACTCACTAAAAACAGCTGTCTTTTAATAACTTCCAATTAATTCTCTGCTTTATCATAGACCATCCAGACGCACCGTTCTCTTTGCAGAGTATAAACAGAAACTCTGCAACCAGATCCCGTAACTGTGTCAATGGAGAGGTTAACAATTTGCACAGCTTGGCTCTCAGAGTCGTCCCTTCTTCTGGACGGTGCATCACGTCCTTCAAAGGAGGTAGAATCTAAAAGAACATGAAAATTCTTATATCGAGTCTACCTTTGGGCAAACACTTCACTGACACATGCATTAAACACCTGCATTCTGGTGTACTTCCGTATTAATTTTTCAGCTTTGACCATTCTAATGAACGTAGTAACGATTGCACTCAAATTTCCGATTAAGTCGTCCTTGCAGTCTAATCTTTTGTCAAGGAACTTCAAGAGAATAGACACAGCCTGCATGTCCGTATTCTGAAACACATGCTTCCCTGTGTCCTGTGCTGGTGGAATGATCGTTGAGTAACAACTGTAAGGTGCCACCATCAGTAAGTTCGTTATGTTCCTATAAAAAAGAAAAATAGTTAATATGAAATGATAACGACTTAACATCAACATTCTATTGTACAGAATGTACCTTTGAAGGTCTTCGCATTTTTCACATTCGAACAACAGTAATTTATAAAGAATCGAAATCAAATTCTTCATCCTGTAATTATCCTTGTCTGTCCAATGAACGGGATTCATATATAAATTGAATAACGCTGCCATTACTTCGCACGCGAGCAATGCATCCTCTACCTAACGACAAAATTTCCACATTAGCTGTTTGTGTAATTATTTAATTTTAATGTTAGGTTATTAAAGTACTTTGATTGTGTTGGTTTTCTCTTGTTCGCACTGAGTACTTATGTTTTCCAAAATTTTTATCAGACATTCATCCCCACGCAAGATATCCTTTATTAACGATTGTGTATCCTTCTTTAGGGCAGTGATTAGAAATACTATTCTTGTGTCGAAAAACATCATTTCAGAAGAAGTGGCACTGTTGTATTTTCTCATTCGATCAATTAGACGAAATAGACATGGTGTTTCCAATTTTTGTTGCACGTATGTACTGTTGTATATAAGATTGCTCAACAATTTCAGAGATTCGATGATAACTGCAAGACAAATACAGGTGGTCGGGAACAGATTCTTTATGTTTTGCGATCTTTTAAGTAAAAGATTCTTACCACTAGTGGAAGGAGTATGTTCACTTGCATCGCCCAGAGCTGCATAATTTAATATCAGATTTATTCGTTCATCTGAGGTACATTCGTTTATATCTGTTTTATCTCGGCTATGACAATAGAAAAAAAACACCACGATTACTTTACAATACGTTTAGAGATACATCTTATGGAGCAATAATACAAATGGCACCAGAAAAACCCTCTGCTAGAAATAAATATTCATTTAATATGAAAGTAGGGAGCCTGGATTATAGAATTACAGATGTTGTGTAATCACTAGACTTACAAATGTATGAAGTTTCCAGTCATTCAAGTAATTTATACTGTATTATTGGTAGTACCTGAGAATCCGTAAAGTAGATAGACATTGTTGATGAGTGGTGGAGGATCGTGCATCATCCAATAGACAGCAGATCAGCTGTTCCCATAGTTTTGTTCGCAACTGATCTATGTTTAGCTCTTCAAATGTAGTCTTAGTTCCATACTAAATGATTAAACATTAATGTACTTTAGGTACAAGAATCAGTTAGCTCTAAATATTGTTGATGAATTAAAAACAAAGAACTCACCTCCTCCTGGAAAGTAACAATGTCTTTTGCAAACTCGTCAGGCGTGTCGGAGATTATTTTCCGTACCAACGTGTCCATGATGACATAAAAATACTATATCTATAAAAATTAAAAACAATCCTTCAGTGCTGCTCCTAAACGTCACGGAGACGCCAGGGGTCAGAAAATCTTCTCTACAACGTGTTTATTGAATTGACAGAGTTCCAAGGTTCCAATATTGAAACTTCCAGGATCTACCGATAGAGGGCTGCACAATGATCTTAAAAGTCCACTTCCAATAATTGAGTTTTCGCGCCACCTCTGTTTTACCGACATTTGTTTATTATCGATAAAGAAGAAATTATTTTTATCCCGTGACAATTACGCTACGCACACTCCCAGATTCCTAGAAACAGTCGCGGACTGATTCAGCGTAGATTTCTGCTCTTAGTTCGCAAACATTCGAACTTCAAAATAAAAATAATAAAACGAATCAAGCTTGGGAGGATTCCCTTCTCAATTCCTAGAAAGTAAGTGCTCATATTGTATTGACATTCATCGTCGAGATTAATCCTATCTAAAACAAAAGGCGAAAATACAAATTTTAGAGTGATAGCAGCCTAACCTACCATCTTCAAAGTGTAAGCGTAACGGTCCGAAACTTTCGCGAACTACATATAGACAAAATGTTCGAAAATTCTGCTATTGCCATATACTTTTTTCACTGCCATTACTGTTATCGTTATTAGCGTCAGAAAATGACGTTCTTAAACGTCCTAGTACGATACTTTAAAATAAAAAGTTTGAAATTTCAAACGCAGAAAAGCGATCGATCGTTTCTCATAGATTTACACTACAGTGAAATCGTTTCAGGTGGCGAACGGGCCCTTATTATCACCCACATTTCACCATGGATTGACCCTGTAACACACATACAGGGCGTCCCTCCGGGATTCAGCTTCGAAGGGGGAGAAAGGGCGTGGAGAGAGCTCGCAATCAAAAGAGAAACAGGTTTCCCTCTATTCGCGGTCCTCTACTTACCGGCCGTCGACTCCGACGGTGTCGATGCTCCTTGGGGCGGCAATCTGGTTCAACGACTTTCCTCCAGGCATTTCTTCGACCTTCCTCAGCGTGGATTACATCACGTTCCCCCTCATGTAATCGTTCGACCGGGCCTCCTCGGCCTGGCGTTTTTTTCTTTTCGCCCGGAGAAGAAATTACGATGCACGAATCGGAAGAAACGCCTGGACGTCGAGGAAACCGTGTGCAGTGGCGTAGAACCTACGAATCGCAATTCGAGATCGGGTGAATTTTTCGCTGTTGAAAAACCTTTACAGATCGTAAGAATTATTTCCATAATATCGCATTTCGTTCGAACTTTCTGTGTATCCTTGTAAAATATTCAAACTTCTAGAAAAGTTAAGCCTGACCTGCAACGAACTAGGATAATGATATACACAGTAATTAGGCGAGTCTGTAAAAAACTGCAAAGGTACATTTTTCTGTATCCCTTTTTAATCTATCATGGTTTTATTGACACAACTGTCAGATATTTGCTGTATGTATTTTCAGAGGCCGGGTGTCGCGTGCATTGGCGTGGGAGTCCAAAAGTGCAATTCTCAGCTTTTTTTCCCCTGAATTCTACCTACAAATTGCGTAACTTTGAACCCAGACTTGCCTCTCCGAATTTATCTCGGAAGTTAATGATTCGGTGTTTAAACAATGAGCATACCCTCTGACGTCCGTGTGTACCAGGTTCTTATCGTTTTATCATTCGCACAGTTTTCCATCGACGTTACAAAGGACTCCCTCTTGCCCGTTAGACCGTGGTGACTATTTCTGTCCGTTGCTTGCAGGAGAGGCCGTGTCACGTCGTGCAGAGGAGAGCAGGGAGGTGGAGGGAAAGAAGAAAACGGGGGAAAAACGTTCCTTCGATCGGATGTGCACATTAGGCGTGGCCGAGAAAAGAGCAACGATACAACAGGTGCCTCTCACAGGAAACACACGGCTCGGCCGTATTGTCGGGGAGGGCTCCAAGGACACACGGCTATAAAAACTCTTCTATCCCCTATTCCACGGGGCCTGGGTATAAAAAAGGGGCGGGCGGGAGAATAGAAGGAAGGATGACCTTGGTGAGTAGGGTTGTCCAAGGCGGTTGGGAATGGCGCGCGCATAGATGCGTAAATTATCCGCCACTTTCTAGTTTGACCTGGCCCATGGTCGTGGCTTTCTACGCTGCTGGAAAGCCCTTACTTATATCAGCTTGTTGCACACGAGCCGGTGAATTCTCTGTCCCTGTTGCTTACACGAAATCAGGAAAAGATTCAGTAATGTATTCTGGTAGTATTTATGTATTTACGGAAGTTTATGCAAATTCAGAGTTTCCGCTAGTAATGTCTAAAACGCGATGGAATCTTGAATTACAGGAGGCTTGACTACGTCAATAATAACAGACCTAACCCAGACCTTCATTTTATTAGATCTTCCAAGTTAAGAAACGTGGAAAATGCATAAACTTCCGTAGTCTAATCGTATATATAATATAGTAAATTCTGTCCGCTGGTATTGATGGTTTGACAACCGTATGTTAAAAATTTTAGAAACCATCCTTTCGTGTGCAACAATCTTTTGGAAAATATAGAACCGATGAAATTGTAATAAAGCATTGCAAATTGCTTCGCAAACATTATTTCCTGAGTATCATCGCTCAAAGGAAATTTTAAAATCGGTTCCTTCAATGTACATTTGCAATATTATTCTGTCCCTTGACAATTGTGCAATATTTCACGATAAAGTGTCTGCTATTTGGTAAGCACCAGAGCGTATTAATAATTCCCGGGTGACCAGAGGGATGGAAAAACAATGTATAATGAACTTGTGGGGTGTGAGTCACCGGAAAGTAACATCTGAATATTATTTCAGCGGCTGGTTGGTGAAACTCCGGCCCTTGAAGTCAGTTTTTCCCGAAATCGTACGAGTGGCGGGGGGGAGAGTGCGCATGTGTGCGCGAACGCGCTTGTACGCAGCAGCAGCCAGGCCTGGTGGATGCACTTTTGGGAAATCATGCATATATGTGGCAACATCGCACCGCGGGCTCACATTCCACGTGATCAGGACCGGTTTGCGGGTGTCGACCCACTGACACTCGCCCACCACAGATAAACCTTGGCCCTACACGCACGGATACACTGTGTCCGATACACCTTGCTTGTGTGTGTCTCTCTCGTTTTTTTTATTGCAAGGAAACGTTGTCCCCGCCGATTCCCAGACTCCGGGGCCCTCTAGAACAACAGTCGGAGATGCTCCCCTCGCTGTCCCGTTGCTCTTTTGGGACTTCTCCCAGAAGAAGGAAATTGTAAAATCTTATAGAAGTACCATTCTATCAAACATTTTTCTTTTTTTCTTGTACGCGAATTTAACATAGGTTTAGTATGGGCTAAAGTCAAATTTACACGCGGTTTACTTTGCTCGAGCATAGTCTATTCGAGAAAATTGAAAGCAAAATGTTCCAAGCAAATTGAACAGCAAAAGATATTGACGTATTTATTATTACCATAACTTTATTATTCACAAGTGGACTGATTCATATTTGAACGCATCAGTTGCGTCGTCATATTGTTTGTAAACAGAGCTTGTTATGTCAGATGATTATTTTCAAAGACAACAAGAATATTACAAATGAACCATTTCAATACATCTAGATCAAGGGTAAAATATTACAAATAACTTGTAGTATATATCCACCGTTAGGTACGCGTAGCTTGTCAATTATGAACAATAGCAGTGATAATTGGAAGAGGAAACATTTAGGGCCCTGATTTTTACTGTTTTTTTTTCTTTTTAATCCGTCTTTTAATCCCCGATTTTTATTAACACCTTTGGCCTCGTATGAAAAGGGACCCCGCGTCGTTAGTCGGTGCATTGCAAGGCCATTGACCGGTAGGAACGGGGGGGGGGGGACCCCCCGATCGATGATCAGCTACCTGCTGATACATTGTTGGCCGTACAATGGCGAAAGTATTCCTGATCTGGTGGGAACCCTCCTCGGGGCGTCAAGTGCAATTATTCCGTGTAACCGAGTGCGTTTCGTTCCTACCGTTCAAGATCAGCCTTTACCTCCACGCGGTCGGCCCCTCCTCGGCCATTCATTGCGGCATGGTCGGGTGCAACGCCCCATTCACCTGCGCCACTGGGCCTCTCGTCACGTAATTCCCCCATCTTTTGTTGTTGCATCAACTATTACGCAACTGGCCGAAAAAAAAACAGTAAAAAAAAGGACCATTTGCAATGAGAAAAATTCTATAATATTGCCAAGCAATTTGGGAATTTAGATTTCGTACACTTGCACCTGTAACCATGTGCATACATATCACAAGTCCACATGACTGACCTAACCTATCGTCGTGACCTGCGACCTAACGCTCGGTTCACATAAAGCATTTTGTGATTCGGCACGGTGGATTAAAACGCTGCTTGTGATTGTTCGAGCTGTGAATTATATTCGATATGGTTTTCCAGCGGTTCACGACGGGAAGTCAGAATTTTCGTGGGGCTCTGGAACCGCGAGGAACGCCGGGGAGGAAACCCGTATGAAGAGAAACAGGTTCCTCTTGGCCGAGGGATTCGAAAAGCCGCTTGCATCCACCTTTCGAGTTGAAAAACCGTGTCCAGGACCCGTGTAGAATGTTCCCCCAATAAAAGGACCTACACCCACGTGGTGCGTTTTTATGTGCACGACGCCATGATGTAACACGTGCATAATAACGGTTAGGTCGATCTTTCTTCCCCATAAGGTGTATTTGAAATTTTTATTATTTATCCTTTTTTTATTGTAGGTGAATTTTTCTCTGTTGAAATACGCGAGAACCGTGGAATATCGAGGTTCCCGTGCTATCTGGTAGACCCGATAAGCAAACAGTTGGTGTCTGCCTCTATCGTTGCTCGTAGATAATGTGCAACGTTGCTATATCTATCACTAATATGCCCAAGAATTTATTTTTCCCGTTTCCATCGGCGGGGCCTGCATTTTAATCGTTTCCTCTCTTTCTAGGGCTCGACCGTTTGAACGCTTTTCTGCTTTGCTTTGACGCTTTGCTGACTTGGTTGTTTTTTTGGTTTCGTGAAAATACGGTCGTGTTCGGAAAGACAAGAGGGAGCGCAGCAGCC